GGGTGGGAGGCTGGGTGGGGCAGGAGAGCGCGGTGAGCAGGGAGGAGGAACTATCAAGAATGGAGAAGGGAGGCGGGACCAAGCCCAAACTACTCGTTTTGATGACATCCCTGGCAAGGATGCCCCCTGGACGCAGCATCGAAGAGTGCCAAGGCATTTTTGGCACGGCGGAGGAAGCGGACAAGAGGAGGGACATGGAGGATAAGGGGGAGAAGGAGGAGGGTGAGGAGGAGCATGATGAGGAGGAAAAGGATAGGGAGGACGAGAAGGAGGAATGCGAGGACGAGGAGGAAGAGGATGGGGAGGAAAGGTGGAGGAGGAGGAAGAGGAGGAGGAAGAGGAGGAGGAGGAGGAGGAGGAGGGGGAGGAGGAGGGGCGGGTGGACAAGAGGAGGGGGATGATTAGGAAGAGGTGTAGTGGGAGGGGGGACGACGACGACGCCGAAGGCGCAGGCGGATCAGGAGCAGGAGGACGCGCCAACACTCTGCGGAGCCACCCTGGCTCAGGACGTGCTGGTTCTGGACTCTGGCTATGACCTTCGATCCGCGGCCCCAGAGCTCCCGACCACTTCTCCCAGGGGCCACCTCGAGACCCAGACCCGTTCCTGCTGGCCCTGGGGTCCGGCAACGGGCCCCAGAAGCGCAGATCGAGGCAGACCGCCCGAACTGAACAAACAACATATCGTTGGAGGCCTGGGTGCGTGCAACCGATCGGAGAGCCCCAGACGGTCTCGATCCTTCGCTGCTTCCCGCGTGCCCCGGCGCCCGACACTGGCCCCCCAGAGGGCGCTCAAGCCTCGAACACCAGCGCCAGCTCTTCGGCGCCGGCGCCGAGGAGGCGCAAACAGAGGAAGAACAAGTGGAATGAGCATGAACTGCACGAGGTGCAAACCCACTGTCCTCACTTATTAGGTTTGGTATAGGTAGGATCCGAATGCGGAGCACATGCGTGTCAGAGGCTACTGCCATTGAATGCGGAGGAGAGGAGGCGACGAAGCAAGGCACTTTATTGTCCATGTGCGCTCTCTTACGGTCTCGAACATGAGCTTTCGCTTAGCGTGTCGCGGCGGCGGCCCCCGCGACACGCTGTGCTTTGCGAGCAGCGCGTCTCTCCGCTCCGCGGGGCGGGAGGCCGGGAAAGGCTCGGGATGCTGACGCTCGGGGGCCAGAACCGACGGCGCGACACGCCGAGCCAAAGCTCGCGACCGTACGAAGCTCTCGTGAGGCACCCGTTGGCAGGCGGGCTTCCTGTCTGGCGTGCCTCCCCGCACCGCGCCTGGCACGAGGGCGGCGGTGCAGGACGAGGGGCGGTCGGCAGGGGGGCGCCTGCGCCCTCGCGTCGTAGGGCCGCCAGCCGGTGCGGTGCTCCCACTCCCACTGGGCGGCCGGCGGCCCAGGACTCTTCTCCTCCTCCTGCTCCTCCTCAGCCCCAGCCTCCTCCTCCTCCTCCTGCTCCTCCTCCTCCCCCTCCTCCTCTCCTCTCCTCCTCCTCTCCTCTCCTCTCCATCTCTTCTCTTCTCTTCTCTTCTCTTCTCTTCTCTTCTCTTCTCTTCTCTTCTCTTCTCTTCTCTTCTCTTCTCTTCTCTTCTCTTCTCTTCTCTTCTCTCCTCCTCCTCCTCCTCCTCCATTCTCTTCTCTTCTCTCCTCCTCCTCCTCCTCCGCCTCAGCCTCCTGCCAAGGCTTATTCCCGGAAAGAAGGTTCACCCTCAGGCTTCGACTTGAGGTGGGCCGGCTGAGCTATTCGACGATAGATAACGAGGAAAGGGTGGGCCGGCGGAATTGAACTTTGAGGACGTCCCGAGCGAAACGCTGGTTTTTGAAATCCCGATCGATAAAACACAGGGTGAAGTAAGCCCTTTCGCTTCCTGCGGATGCCTCGAGCGAAACGCTCGTTTTCCAGAATTGGTATTCCTCCTCCTTGTCCTCCCCACCTCCTAACTCTCCTCCCCTCGACGGCAGGAGCTGGGACGCACGGCTGAAGGGATGGGAGGGGAGGGCGGAGAGGAGACAAGGATCGGGCCGGGCGAAAGGGTGGGATAGCAAAGGGGGGGTTTGAGAATCAGCTCACGTAGCTGATTTTACCGGCGCCTCCTGGCGCCGGAGGCGCCCATGTATCGAGGGATGGGCCCCTCGGTGGGGCCGAAACCAGCTGCATGCAGCAGATTTCGTGACCCCCCCTTTCCCAATCCCCCCCTTGCGTCCGGCCCGAAAGGAGGAAGGGATGGGTCGGAGAAGGGAGGGGAGGCGGCGAGAGTGGAGGGGGAGGTTGATGGGAGAGGGGAAGAGAAGGAGGGGGTGCAGTGGGAGGGGAGCGGAATGGGACTCGGGATGGAAATCGAAGCGGTGTGGGAGCCTGCACCTCGTTCGTGTCCGCGGTCTTGGAGGAATCCAGTCCTGATGACTTGAGGCCGGTGTCCGACGTGGCAGCGGTGTCCATCCCGCGGCCTGGCAAAAGCCGACTCCAATCGTGACAAGTTCTCTTTCGTGGGCGTTTTTTGATTTGGCGTTTCGAAATTGGACGGAAGGGGGGGGAGGGGGGGGGTCTGGCTCCAGACCTTTGCTTAGTGCGATTGTTTGCAACAGAAAGTCCTATGGGGGAGACCCCACTTGCCTGAAACAGGCGCCCGAAACAGCCAAGATCTACTCCACGGGGGGGGGGAGAGGGGCGAGGGCCCGCGCCGATCGGCAACACAATGAATCAAAAACGGATGGACTCCTGCTGCTGCTCATCCTCGGCTCTCCCAGGCGGAGGGGGCAGCAGTCACGGAATCGCGCCACAGCAGAAAGCAAGTAACATTGAAGGGGAACTGGGACACACAAATAAATAGGCACAAATCACCAGATTCCCTGTATTTTCTAGTACTTTCTGGGTTTCTGTCTTCCCCCCCACTTCCCATATGTTCCCATATTTTCCTGGGGATCGACGATTAATCGTGCCTGTGTTTTTTTTTCCCCTCCTGAAAGTAACAGGCCAAACAAACCCGGAACAGTACACCAGCCAGCTGGCAGTGCGCGAGCCCACGAGCCTGCCGTCGCTCGGACGTCCATCTCCCGTGCATTTTTCGGTTTCGTGCGTGTTTTTTTTTGCGCGATGGTCCAGGATGGTCCTCGATGGTTCTCGCCGAGAAAAAATGCACACGTCCGAGCGATACCAAGCGAGCCGACGCGCTACTCAGGAAAGCGGCACCGTGCTGTCAGCACCAGCGGCGTCTCCGCGGAGTCTCGATCGCCCTCGCAGAGCATGGCAACAAGTGTCCCTGCACAGGCCCCGACCCCCGACTGCCGGGCACACCTCGGGCGCCTCTGGGATGCTCCGCGCCGCTGGCATACAATGGGCCCAATGACACACAAATACATACACACAAATAAAATGATTCCCCATATTTTCCCATATTTTATTGGCTTCTGTCTTCCCCCCCATTTCCGATATTTTCCCATATTTTCTGGGGGATGGAGGATTAATTGTGTCTGTGTGTTTTTTCCCTCCTGAGGCACACACGTCGGTCGGAAGAAGTAGGCAAAATTATGAAGTAGGAATGCGGATGAAGTAGATTGGGTCCAGCTCCCCCCCAGGGAACAACAAGACACAGCGAAAGCGTGCCGATTCTTGAAGTGGGAAGGCCCTCGAGGTAGATTGGGATCTGGGCATCCAAAAAGACCTACTTTCAGCGGCCAGCGTGTATCGACGGGAGCCCTCCGCTTGATGCTGATTCCGCTCCCGCTGCTGCCTTCTCTCCCAGTGCCCCTCCCGTGCCTCTCCGCCTCCCGTCCTGCCTCCCTGGGCTGCCCACGCAAGGAGCCAGCCCCGGACGTGCCCGCAGCTCTCCAGCCTTCTCCCCTCTCGGGAGCGGCCAAGAGGGGGGTGTCCAAGAGGGGGGGTGCAGATTCATGACCGGCGGCATGTGCGCGGCCCAGCGGGGGGGCCAGGGACGTAATGAACTAAGAAGAGGCGCCGTGAAACCTGGGGAAATCTCATGGCCCACGCCATGATATCCCCCCCCCCCCAGTCATCACCCCCCTCTTTGCCGCCCCCGACCTTCCGGGGGTGGGCAGCGCCCTCTGCAGCAGAGCACCCGTCAGCGAAAAGACGGCCCGGGACCACGCCCGGCGGGCGCAGGCTGGCAGAGACTGCGGCCGCAACGCCTCCTGGACACCCCCCCCAACAAAAGAGGGCAAATTCGCGGGTCGACTTGGCCGGGTGGGGATCCTCTGCGTCACTCTCCTGTCGAAGGCCTTCGCGCCGCGTGTGCCCTCCCAGGGCTGTACCCAAACGCTGCTTTGCTGGACTTCGGCTGTGCTTTGTTTTTCGTTTTGGGAGGGAGGTGCAGGAAAACAGGTAGAATAAGACGAAAACAAAACTAAAAACAACGTTCAGGTCCAGCCCTGCCCTCTTCCTCCCGGCTCTGCCCCTCTCCCTCGCCATCCTCGGGGACGTCCAAGCGGGGGGGTGTCGCAACTCGTGGCCCGAGGCATGCGCGCGGTCGACGGCGGATGGCCGAGGGACGCGTGGGAACGAGAGGAGGGAGCCACATAGCCCTGGCCACGATCTCCACCCCTCCCCCAGTCCTCACCCTTGGAGGCCTAGAAATTGGCACCAACACCAACACAGGAAGTTGCCTCCACATGGGGGAGATGATCCCAGATTTCGGTGCTGGTGGTCATATTTCGGCCACGCTGGAAGCCAGAATCATTACCACCATCACCGAGATCGGGATCTTCTTCCCTCGGTGGAGGCACACGGCCGATTTTGGTGCTGGTGTCAACCTCTATAGGCCTGCGACCCTCCCCGAATCATCACCCCCACTTCGACGCTCGGTGGTTTTCGGGGCAGAACTTGGGCCTCCAGCGGCCGCTCGGAACGATGCGGACACCTCCGGAGAGCTCTCGGCGAGGCGCAGCTGCTGGGATGCCTTCCGAGGCTGGGAAGCCTTCGGGAACAGACGACATCATTGCAAAACCTTGAACTCCGAACGTCCGATCGTCATCACCCCCCTTTCTTTGCAGCCCCCGAGCCGGGGCACCGATCAGACCCCCTTGTCATCACCCCCTTCTTGGCCTCTTCTGAAGGGGCACACAAACAAAAAGACACAAATAACAGCGTTCCACATATTTTCGCATCTTTTCTGGGCTCTTGTCTTCCCCCGAGGGGGAGGCTTTACAACGTGTAAGAGCAACTTCATCCCAAACCCAACCAAAACCCAACCGAGACCCAACCAGAATGCGGGCAAAACATGTGTATTTTGAGCACCACTTACACGGGTTTTGGCCGCATTTCCAACCAGAACCAACCACGAATCAACCACGGCCATTCGGCTGGTTGGCGGCTGGTTGGCGGCTGGTTGGCTGCAAACCAGCCAACCAGCCAACCAGCCAGCCAGCCAACCAGCCAACCAGCCAACCACCCAGACAGCCGACCAAACGGCCAGCCAGTCTGCCTGCCAGCCTCCCAGCCAGCCAGCCAGCCAGCCAATCAGCCAGCCAGCCAGCCAGCCAACCAGCCTGCCAGCCAGCCAGCCAGCCAGACAGCCAGCCAGCCAGCCAGCCAGCCAGACAGCCAGCCAGCCAGCGAGCCAGCCAGAAGTCAACCAGGGGCCAGCCAGCCAGCCAGCCAGCCAACCAGAAGCCAACCAGGGGCCAGCCAGCCAGCCAGCCAGCGAGCCAGCCAACCAGCCAGACAGCCAGCCAGACGGCCAGCCAACCAACCAGCCGGCCAGCCAGCCAGCCAGCCAGCCAGCCAGCCAGCCAGCCAGCCAGCCAACCAGCAAGCTAACCAGCCCGCCAACCAGCCAGCCGACCAGCCAGCCAGCCAGCCAGCCGACCAGCCAGCCAGCCAGCCAGCCTGCCAGCCAGCCAACCAGAAGTCAACCAGGGCCCAGCCAGCCAGCCAGCCAGCCAGCCAGCCATCCAGAAGTCAGCCAGCCCGCCAGCCAGCCCGCCAGCCAGCCCGCCAGCCGGCCAGCCCGCCCGCCAGCCAGCCAGCCAGCCAGAAGTCGAGCCAGCCAGCCAGCCAGCCAGCCAGCCAGCCAGCCAGCCAGCCAGCCAGCCAGCCAGCCAGCCAGCCCGCCAGCCAGCCCGCCAGCCAGCCAGCCAGCCAGCCAGCCAGCCAGCCAGCCAGCCAGCCAGCCAGCCAGCCCAGCCAGCCAGCCAGCCAGCCAGCCAGCCAGCCAGCCAGCCCTCGAGCCAGCCAGCCAGCCAGCCAGCCAGCCAGCCAGCCAACCAGCCAGCCAGCCATCCAGCCAGCCAGCCAGCCCGCCAGCCAGCCCGCCAGCCAGCCCGCCAGCCAACCAGCCAGACAGCCAGCCAGCCAGCCAGCCAGCCAGCCAGACAGCCAGCCAGCCAGCCAGCCAACCAGCCAGCCAGCCAGCCCGCCAGCCAGCCCGCCAGCCAGCGTGCCAGCCAGCCAGCTAGCCAGCCAGCCAGCGGACCAGCCAGCCAGCCAGCCAGCCAGCCAGCCATCCAGCCAGCCAGCCAGCCCGCCAGCCAGCC